CCACTCCACCACTGGACCTTGTTTTGAGATAGGTTCTTAACTTTTTCGCTCAGATTGGCCTCCAGCTGTGATCCTCCTGATCTCTGCCTTCTGAGTAGCTAGAATTAACAGGCATGAGCCACCTGTGCCTGGCCCAGATAGCAAGTTTTAAAACTCAGTTGATAAATGATACTAAGTTACCTAGAAAGTTCTAGCCACAATTAGTCATAATAATTGTACATGGACCAGCCCTAGAAAACAGCTTAGAACACCTTGGTTTTTTTAACAGTCTTGTCCTGAGTAACAGAGGTATGCTGAGGGTGATACACTTAGACATAAAACCTAGGACATTAAAACAAGTATTTTCTATCAGTTCCTTGAAGAAACAGTAAAGGGTTGGGACATGCCGTTGATAAGATTTAGCTTTTGTGATATGAAATAGAAATAATATGGTTTGGATTACTCTGGAGAGAGGTGTATGTGCCTCTTTTGAGTTTACTTATCTAAAAGTAGAAATATGTAAACAAGTATGGTGATCTTGAGTCTTTGTTTTTTCTTTGGCATACCACTTGCTTTGTGTACAGTATAAATCACCAGTGACATCAGGCTTTTATTGAACATTGGTGAAAGGTTGAAAAAAACCTCTTAACTTTTTGGCGGTTGGCCACCAAATTTTAGGCAATTTAAATTATAAGGTATATAAAAATTGAAATGATCAAAGTAGAAATTCCTAATAGTTCAAGACTTAAAGAATTAAAGAAGATGCCCTTCTGGGGAAGTGAGAAGAAGGGTAGGAGGAGGAAGAGGAAGTGCTGTAACTTCAAGTTTCTGTGTGGTTTAAGTTTATATAAGGTGTTTGCAAAAATTGAAGGTCTTTTGTCACGACTACCAGACATGGATTCAGCTCTTGAAGAACTTTTCTGTTTTTACCAAATCGAGCCAATGTTGAAATTTTATTTTTATGACATACCTAAAGCTTAGTTAATATACACTGTAATTACATTTAATAATTTCCTAATATTTTAGGTTGCAGAAGTTTTACAAGTACCTCCAATGAGAGTATATGAAGTAGCAACTTTTTATACAATGTATAATCGAAAGCCAGTTGGGAAGTATCACATTCAAGTCTGTACTACTACACCTTGCATGCTTCGAAATTCTGACAGCATACTGGAGGCCATTCAGAAAAAGCTTGGTATGGGCTATATATATTTATAACTTTTTTTTTTTTTTGGCAGCACAGGGGTTTGAACACAGGACCTCATGCCTGCTAGGCAGGCACTTTTACCATGTGAGCCACTTCACCAGCCAATATTTATAACTTTTAAAATTAGAATTTTTTTTCCCTGTTAGTCCTAGTGTTGAACTTAGGACTTCATATTTGGTAGGCAGGTGCTCTACCACTTGTGCTACACCTATAACCCTAGAGTTGTCTTTGTAGGTTTCATGTATTTATACCTAAAAATTTCTGCCATCTATTTTTTTTTTACTATGTATATTTATTTACCTTTCCAGTAAATTTGTCTTACTGTTGTTTGCTTACCTTTCTTTCTGTTTTGTTTGTAATTCTCAGTCTCAAATCTGACTTTTTCCTTTTTCTATTTTAATCTTTAAATATGTTTGTAAAGACCTTCTAGAGGCATTTTACATTGTTTAGAAATGTAAATGGCTTCATTTATTTTATGATAGCATGTGGTATGTAAAAAGCAATTGTATTGTCCATGTGTTCTTCCAAAGAAGCTAGAAATAAATAAAATATGAGCATAGCAAGAAGGTTTCTTGGGGAGGGAAATTTAAAATAGATGTATTTATAGTATTATAGTAGTATTTATAAAACAAATAGGCATTTTCCATACAAAACTGACATTGTTGTGCAGGTTGGGGTTATAGGGTAAAGGATTTACAGCTAAAAAATTTAAAAGAAAAAATAGAGTTAAAGGAAGTAACTTTAAAATTTGTTATTGAATAGACGTACTTGAATGTTGTAAATATAGTTGGGCAGTTACTGAAATATATAAAGCAGAAAGTCCAACTTGGCCCCAAAATCCCACCTCCAAGGTATAAATTCTAATAACTGGTATGTTAATTACAGATTTTATGTATCTTTTAATTAGTACATAAATGTAATATGTCTGTGCTTGCTTTTGACACCTTATTTTTGATCATGTCGGTACAATATGTTTGTCTCCCTCATTTTTCTATTATAAACTAAATTATTCTACAGTTACTTTTGCATACATGCGTTTTTGTACACTTACCCTGTTGCATACTGAGGTGGTTTACAAGAATTGTTGGGTCATAATTTACCATATTTTGCCAAAATGCCTTCCCTAAATGTATGAGAGTACTCATTTTCCTTACTTCCTTAAAAATTTCAGACATTAGGAGTTTTCTGAATCTTTGCCAATCTGATAGTGTGACTGTGATACTAGTAGTCTAGTTTTATCACAATCAAAGTAAAAACAATAATAGTCTGATGCACTGTTACATAAAAATAAATGCTGGAGATGAGTCCCAAAATTTTATTTCTTTCTATTTTTATGGCAGTACTAAGGTTTGAACTCAGGGCTTCAAGATTGCTAGACAAGCATTCTACCACTTGAGCCATGCCTCTAGCCCCCCAAATTGTATTGTTTTTAAAAGAACACTTAAGAAATAATAGACTGGCTTCAAACTTGAAATCCTTCTGCTTCTGCTTCCCAAGTGCTGGTATTAAAAGTGTGCAACACCTTGCCTTGCTCTTTTTTGTTCTTGAAAGAAGTTTTAGGTTCTTAAATACTTCTTTATACTGCTGTAATACAGAATGGGTTTTATTTTTTGTTTTGGAGTTCCCTTATACTACATGGCTATTAAGCTGTAACCTGATCCTTATAGTGATTATTTATATTTCCAGGAATAAAGGTTGGGGAGACTACGCCTGACAAACTTTTCACTCTTATAGAGGTGGAGTGTTTAGGGGCCTGTGTAAATGCACCAATGGTTCAAATAAATGATAACTACTATGTGAGTATCCCACTTAATGTAAACTAAAGTTCTTTGTGATGTCATTTTTAAAATATTTGTAGATGTAGTTTTCTGAATTGTTCACTTAGAAGAAACCATTACCACAAATATATAAGTTTCAAAAAAATCTTCTTTTTGCACTTTTTTCCAGAACATGACTAATTTTAAAAACTTAATTATAAAAAATTTAACCATTTATATATGAATATAAAAATAACCCTGGTATACAAACCAAGTAACATTTTGCCATATTTACTTCCAGGTATTTATCATCACTATCATCATTATTATTACTTGTAGAAAAAAATTACAGATATAGGTAAAGCACTCCCATCTCAAATCCTAAGTTACTTCCTTTTATCGCAAGATACTCACTACCATAAATTTAGTCTTACTCATTGCAAGATACTCACTACCATAAATTTAGTCTTACTCTGCATATGCATATTTTGAAAGCTTTTTTCTATATGTAAATACATTCAAACTAGTATGTTAAATTGTTTATTTTAAAATGTCATACCTCTAAGTACTGTTTAGCTGTATCTCACAAATTTTGCTAATTTTACATTTGACCTCTTTGTCATTGGCCTGTAACTTTTTTAGAAATGATTTAATATCCAAATGTGTGGAGTTTTCTAGTTAGCATTTTTTAATTGCTTGCCACCCTAATTTTATCATGGTTTTCATTTGTGATATCTTGTTAGCTTGTTTTTCTTAGAAATTTGTTTCTGGAAATTCTTCGGGGTCTGTATTAATAGGCCTTCAAGAACGGATTTGTGGACAACAAGGTGTGGCTCAAGTGCTAGCATGCCTGCTTTGTAAGCATGAAGTCTTGAGTTCAAACACCAGTACCACTAAAAAAAAAAAACCAAAACCAAAACTCAAAAAGGGATTTGCTTTGCTTCTTTCTTGCTCCTGGAGGAAGTACTACTGGCCCCAATAAAGCCCATCTCCTTGTACCCTAGGCCTCCCGGACTCCCTAGTACAAAAGGTTCCAGAGTAACGATTTTCTTTAAGAGGCAGATTAATTTCTAGTTTACACTTACCCTCTCATCTTTGAAACCTGAAGTCAAATTTGCTTGGTGTTTCACTTGTCTCCCTCGGTTTTCATTGAGTTTTTGCCTCTGCATATGTATTTCTCAATTTAGATAGTAATTAGTCAAGACTTTGAGGCATTATCAGTCTAAGTACAGTGTCCTGCAGTAGATTTGTCCAAGAGTTAGAGATTCTTTCAGTTAATAGGAGTTAGATCTGTTGATTAGGGATGGGTATTAGGCATTGTAAGTCACTGCTTATAAGTCACTATAACTATTGGTACTGATTATTATTGATATCTCACCTTTTCTTCAACTTGTGTCTAGGTACTGTTCTGCTTTATATTTTCTCATTTTAAATCCTTAAAAACAGGTTCAGCTAGATTTACAAATAAACAAACTTGAATAGACCAAGAGTAACTTGTCCAAGATTACTAGCTAGCAAGTAGTGGAGCTACCAGGACTCAAATGTACATGTTTCATTTCAAGCACACTCTGTATTACTGCCTCTTCAGTTAGAGCTCTTGCTGCATTTTACACTCGGTAGTGTATACTATAATTGGAGTTACTTAGTTGTTGCTATTTTGGTAACTATCTGGTGAGTTTTGATAGACAGTAAACTAATTGGTATTAGAATTTATACAGATTCAGCAGTAGGAAATAATTTCAGTGACTACTATAAATTTTTTTTAGGAGGATCTGACATCTAAGGATATTGAAGAAATTATTGACGAGCTCAAAGCTGGGAAAATTCCAAAACCTGGGCCGAGGTATGCTTATATTCTCATATAATAAATTTTAATGGCTTAACCTAAATTGAATTCATCTTTCACATAAAATTAATTTTTAAAAAATTTATTCTGCTGGATGCTGGTGATTGACACCTGTAATCCTAGCTACTCAGGAGGCAGAGATCAGGAGGATCATGGTTCAAAGGCAGCCCAGGCAAATAGTTCTCAAGACCCTATCTTGAAAAACCCTTCACAAAAACAGGGCCGGTGGAGTAGCAGGCCCTGAGTTCAAACCCCAGTACTGGGGGGCGGGGGGGGGAAGTTATGCTGTAAGTTCACAGGTCTTAGCAGGAACCTTGGATACCCTAAGTCTTTAAAGTCCTATCAGATGGGCTGAGAGCATGACTGAAGTGGTAGAGTGCTTGCCTAGCATGTATGAGGCCTTGGGTTCAGTCCCTAGTACTGCCCAGAAAACCAAAAATTACCCTATCAGGTAATCATCTGATAGCTACATAAATTTTTATAGAGAAGGATAATTTACAAATAGAAATCTGTTATTTAAAAATTCACATTGCTAAAGGATTAACCCAAAGTCTGTCTTCCTCTAATTTCTACCTAAATGTCTAATTCTGCTCTTTTTTGGTGGAACTGAGGTTTAAACTCAGGGCTTCACACTTGCAAAGCAGTCACTCTTCTGCTTGAGCCACACCTCCAGTTCATTTTGTTGTGGTTTTTTTGTTTGGTTGGTTTTTTTGGCACTGGGATGCTCTGGTTTTTTTGGAAATGGGGTTTCGAGAACTATTTGCTCCAGCTGGTCTTGAACTGTGATCCTCCTGATATCAGTTTCTAAGTAGCTAGGATTACAGGTGTGAGCCATGGGCATCCAGCACAAGATAATTTTAGAACCTCCTCCAAAAGATAGTTCTACAGTTACTTTAAAGAATTATCCCGTCTTTCCCAAATCTTTTTGTGAGATTGAATATCCAATAGTTTTGGTCTCCCTTTGCTGTGGAATTTCTAGTTGTCTTATGATACTGAGACTACTCACAGTACAGTCATACACCACATAATATCATTTTGGCCAGCAATGGAGTATATATACAATGTGGTCTCTTAAGATTATGATGAGCTGGGTGCTGGTGATCACACTTGTGATCCTACCTACTCAGAAGGCAGAGATCAGGAGGATTGTGGTTCAAAGCCAACCTTGGACAGTTAGTTCAGGAGACCCTATGTTGAAAATATCCAACACAAAAAAAGAGCTGGCAGAGTAGCTCAAGTGGTAGAGTGCGTATCTAAAAAGCATAAGGCCGTTGACTCCAAGCCCCAGTACCACAAAAAAAAAAACAAAACAAACAAACAAAAAAAAAACTTACAATGGAACTGAGGAATTCCTGTTACTTAGTATTTTTATAGTATTTTTTCTGTGCTTAAATGCTTAACATTGTGTTATTTGTAGCCTAAGATCTGTGGTATGATACTGCCAAGGTATATTAGGCTCTCTAGGTTTGTGTGAGTATGCAATGTACAATGTCAAAATTGCCCAGTCAGGCTGAAATGTAGTTTAGTGGCACAGCACTTGACTAGCATGTGCAAGGCCTTCAGGTTCAATCCTCAGTACCAGAAATGACAAAAAAAATTTGCCTAATGGTGCATTTTCCATTACATCTTTATGAGAATATATACAACCATTAATGACACTTATAGTCAGTTAGAATGTCTAGCTTGTTTTCAGCTTATCCACTGTGTAGCTACTCCCATCCAATAGTTGTTACACTAATTACTTTTTCTTTCAATTATGAACATGAAATTTTACTGCTAAACAAACTATCATTCTATATCTAAGTGTTCAGTTACTTGAAATTCTCTTTTTTCTGGGGCTTGGGACTAGAGTTTAAACTCAGGGCTTCAAAAGCAGACACTGTTCTACTTGAGCCACACCTCCAGTGCAGTTTGGTCTGGTTATTTTGGAGATGGGGTCTCACAAACTATTTGCCTAGGCTGGTCTTGAATTGCTATTCTCCTGATCTCAGTCTCCCAAGTAGCAAGGATTATAGGCATGAACCACGGGGTGCCCAGCTCAAAATTAAGAGTATTTAATACTAGAAACAGTTTTTACATAGTTTTATTTAGTCATAATCTCTGTACTTTTTTCTGTTTACTTCATATAAACTTCCTTATCTCAAGTCATTTGAAGATTTTAATGGCCATACAGTATTTTGATACCTGAAAGAACTATACTGTGCTCTTTATTTCTGTTTTAAAATATTTTTCCTAATCTTTATTTCCATATAAATAACAATTATTTTCAGTGTAGATTTGTTTATAACTAATTTTAAATCCAATTTAAATTCTTCATACTTAATTTTATAAATATATATTTTACAGAATTTGGTGGGGTTCAGGTATTATCCAAAATGTAAAACATAGAAGGTAGGCTATAGTTTTAGTGCAATTGCTGATAGATGATTCTAAACAATAAAAGTCACTTTGGGTTTTTAATACTACAAATAGAGGCAGTGGTATGGGTGTGTGTTACTGATAGTTAAAAGAAAAACACTTTCATAAAAACAGTGTCAATAAGTATGTAGTATCAGGAAATCACTTTTAAAAAATTGTTGTATTTGGGTCATCGTTGAATTCACCCCCCTCCAGCATTCTTCTTTGCCCCCCTCCCCCGAAATAACTTTTACTAAGTGATTACAGGTGTCTTTGAAGGAGTATGTAGCCTGTGTACTATTTTAATGTGCACTTATTGTGGGAATGGCAAAGAAAGGTTTGTAGCCTGATATACTGGTTCACTAGGTCCCTTGTTTTTTTTCTCTAAAGTATATTGGTGTGATTAAAATTTTCATGGAACAAACTTTAGGAAATTTTGGAGTGTATTCTTTTCCTTTGTGTTAGTAAAGATACCAATATTAAGCAGCTCGTTAATTTTAAAAGACCCATATCCAAATTGGCAAGATGCTTTAAGACACCAACTGCTTAGCATTCAGTAGACTTCTAAAATGAAATAGTTAAATCACATTCCATTCTGACATTTGAGCAAGAGAACAGTTGTAGATAAAGAAAAAATTTTGAAGGGGTAACTGAGCTTAAAGCACAGTGGAACCTAGTAATGGAAATGAAAGTTTCCTCAAAATAAATTAATTTCATTATTGGGAATTAAAGAGCAGGAAGTATATTACTAGTTTTTGTTTAAAAGTTACAAAGCCAAAAGCTGGTGGGTTTTTATTGTTTTTAAGTTTTAATACCCTGCATTATAGGTCAGTTTTAGGCTCTGACAGCTATTGTACAGTGACAGCTTTTTGATCTGACTTTTATAGTGGACAGACTTTTTGTGGGCTGGTGGTGTGGCTCAAGCAATAGAATGCCCGCTTTGGAAGCTTGAAGCCCTGAGTTCACACCCCATTCTCACCAAAAAAAAAAAAAAAAACCTTACACTGCAAATATATTACTAACTTCTGACTTTATAGCCAGAATAGCCATTATAGTACATTACTTAATTCCTTGTATTATGTACTGTGATAGATTGAAAGATCTCATGATTATGTAGTGTCATTTTCTAGTGTCCTAAACAAAAAGTGAGACTTACAGTGTAGATAAAAAAATATGAACGGTAAAGCCAAAAGGGATTGAAAAGATATAAATTAAATTCTTAAGTTAAAGTCTGTGGCAGGAACAAGATAAATTAGCGAAGCCAGGGAATGGGGGACATGTGTAGCGGATGAAATCCTGTGGAGGAGGTGCTAACCTGGGCTCTAGAAACAGGGCAGAGGAAAGCCTGGGAAAGTATGTGTGGGGGTAAAAAAACAGGTTCTTTGAGTCTCTTGTACTCTGTCTCTTCATAGAGTGCTCCATTGGGACCTGTTTTTTTTTTTTTTTTTTTCTTTGTGGCTGTGGTGGTCATTCCAGCCTGGAACCTTTAAACAACAAAAAGTTAGTACTAATGTAGGCTTCAAAAGTAATATAGACTTAAGAGTCTGCTGCTTCTGGGCTGGAGGTATGGCTAAAGGGGCAGAATGCCTGCCTAGTAAGAATGAAGCCCTGATTTAAAACTCCAGTACGACTTTAAAAAAAAAAAAAAAAAACCCACGCTTTCCTAAGGGGCATCTTCAAAGTTCAGGTGAAGGAATCCAGTTTTTATTTCCAAATGCATTTTACAGGTGTATTTTTTTTTTCTATTCACTGTAACAAAGGATTTCTTTCACTCTAAAGAAAACTCACGTATAAAAGGAATAAATATGTCTTCTGGAGTTGGGTTTATTTTTGTTATAGTTCTTAGCTGTGGCCCTTGGGCATATGTATTTTTAATTCCCCTAATCTTGGTTTCAGTATCTGTAAAATAAAGCTAGTTTCACTTATTTAATGACATTGTTATATAAGTTAGATGAGCTAATGTATGTACACTGCTTAATGCATGAGAACTACTTAGATTATGTATTTTTTTATTTATAGTGAGTTTTGATACATCTTTTCATATTATAGCATATGTGCTGCACTGTCTTTTCCTGTTTAACTTTTGGAAAAGAAAATCTTGCAGCAATTGAAAGTTTGGATTAAATTAATGGTGGTTCTTTGGGGGAAGAACAATAGTTAACTGGGCTGTTGTAACAATTATAAGTTTTAAAATAAAAATTTACAAATGTTAATCATTAGTTGTCAACTTAATGTTACTTGCTTTCTTTTTCAGGAGTGGACGTTTCTGTTGTGAGCCAGCTGGAGGTCTTACCTCTTTGTCTGAACCACCCAAAGGACCTGGCTTTGGTGTGCAAGCAGGCCTTTAATTTATATTCAACTAAATATGTCACTGGAGAAATAAAATATGAATCTTCTGTATACATTAACTTTATTTTGTTTGCTTATTCGCTTTGTATATATCTTGGTAATCTAGTAACTTGCAGTTATAAATACTTTGTTAAAATGACAGCACCATTTTTAAGTTCTATTAATATTTTATTATGTAAGAGTTACTCCAGTGTCATTCAGGTCAATTGCCATGTTACTTTTATCAATAATATTAGGATGTTGTGAAGCAAAAATTCTGCCAAATTTCAAATATATTTTGCTTTCCCATCTTTTTTTTTTTTTTTTTTTGGTGGGACTAGGGTTTGAACTCAGGGCTTCACCTTTACAAAGCAGGCAGCCAGGCACTCCACTGCTTGAACCATACCTCCAGCCCTACTTTCCTGCGTTTAACCACAGTCAAGTTTTGTGGCTCATTTATGTTAGTACTTTCATTAAACATTTTAATATTCACAGCACCCAGTTGTCACTGTATTTCCAAATGGTAAGTAAGACCTTAATCCCAGTGTAGATAAAATAAGGGCAAAAGGTAGTTTTCTCTAGAAGCATTACCATTTTTAAAAAAAATTTAAAACACTTTGACATTATCTTTGGTTATTTTCTAAAACTGCAAGTATACAAAAAAATTAATGAGAAAGAAATTGAAAGTATACTCATGAGTTGGAAAGGCTGGTGGGCATGCAAAATATACTCTTCAGTAGAATGGATATTACAATTTACAAGAAAGGATAAAACTTTTATTAAGTTCACTTTAACAAAAGAAGCTATACCAGCTTGGTCTGGGAAACATAGGGAGAACCTGTCTCAAAAAACCAAAACTCGGAACTAAACTATGGTTTAGCTATCGTACATTAATTTTGTAAACTAAGAGAAAGAAGAGCCAACTTTTAATACATGGATGAATCATGTTTAAAGGTTAAAGTCACTGGTCTTATTCTTGGAACAAATTGTTTACTAGTAATTATGATACCTAAAAAATGGACGTGTGTCCTTTAAAATTAGTTTTGCAAAACAATAAATAACAGTAATTTTTCAAGGTCCTCAAAAAGGTAACATATTATCTTCCAAACTAGAGCCCTCTTGACTTCTCACAGACAACTATGTTTCTTCACATTTTATGGTTACATACGAAGTTAAATGTAGCACTATTCCACTTCTCTCACTATTTATATTGAACCTAATGTTGTATACAAGAAGTAAGGAGCCAAGGAAAAGAAAAAAAAAAATCCTGATCTCAAATGTTTTATATAATTGTTGGAATTTATTCTTTGAACGTCATACGGAAACTCAGTTTATTAGTAACATAAAGGACAATGTTAAGCTATAACTGTACATATTAAGGCACAAACTGATTCTTAAGTTCAGAGCCCACGAAGAAGGAGATGGTTTTCAGGTCAGTATATATGTAACACCTTGGGTGGTTAAGGCATGTACAGATTGCTGCAGACTTATCTCTCTATAAAAAGAATCCAGAAGGAGTACAAGATGCTGTTGAGTAAATTTTTCTCACACACCCTCCGTTGGTATCTGAGCAGTTCCCTTGAAATCCTCAATACCGTATGTTGGAAAATGTACTGAAACTTTTGGTTTAAAAGGTCACTGAAGGAGTGGCTTGGAGAGGGCATGCCCAAGACCCTCGCCACAGGGGCACGCTACTACGCCGGCAGGACAGAGGCGCAGGTGCAAAGTCGCGCCAATATGCAACCCCACTTTGGTCCGCCCCACAGCGAAGCGATCTGCGGTTGCCCCGACCTCGGCCTCAAACCGTGGTCCTAACGTCGTTTTCCCGCCTCCGAGCCCACAAACTCGGCCACCCCGCCCTACAAAAATAACGTGAATACCCTACGTGTAGCCTCTTCATCGCCGCCGCCATTTCCACAGATTTTTCAGAAATAGTTAATGCTGTGATCGCAAAGACAACTGTGGTCCATTTGCCCGCCGGCGCCTGCGCCGCCGCTCAAGTTCCGCTTCCACTTCCTCCGCAAAGCCGGCGAAAGGAGGCGGACCAGGGCGGCCGAAGAACTTCCGGGCCGCGTCCCTCGCCACTTCGCTCGGCACGTCCCGCCTCCCTGTCATTACTTGCTAGGCATCTCCTGAGAGCCGCAGGCGGGGCGGGGTGCGGGGGGCGGGGTGGTCACGCCGCGGGTCCCGTGCCCGTGGGAGTCACGTGTCCACTGTGGTCACGTGCCGGTGCCGCAGCCAATCGTCGGGGACGCTGCCCGGGAGCGAGGAGGCTGTGGTGAGAGACTGACCGAGACCGGAGATGTTTTCAAGCCTGGCCGCGGCGGCGTTAGGGGCGGTTGCAGCGGCGACTAAGACACCGACAGCTACGACCACGCGGAGGCACTCGTTCAGGGGGTGAACCCTCCTGCGTCCGCTGTGTATAGGGTCTGTGCGGGCGAGGGGGGCGTGGCGACAGTAAGGGAGGAAGGAGGGCGCGGTTTCGAGTCTGATTCCGGCGCCTGGGAGGAGACCCCACAGTTCTGCGTGGTTCCCGACCCCTCCCTAGAGCCAGGTAGGGCTCACGTTTTGCCTACCCATCCCACCCCGCCCGAGCCACCAGGCGCCGCCCGGCCGACGCGGCCCTCGGCACTGTCGGCCGGACAGTGACAAGGCCATTAGTGGCCGGGGCGAGGGTATGTCGTGCCTGCCGTCGCTCCTAGGGGCCGCGGCGCAGGTGGAGTCAATGCCGGGCGAGGGGAGGGCGGGGGCTGGTGCGGGTGCTCTGGCCGCCGCCTACCGGAACATGGCGCGGTCGGGAACGAGTGCGAGCGAGCTAGCGCGGCCGAGAGGGCGCCGTCATCGCACCGGGCCGGACGGCAGGGCGGGGGCGCGCCCGCCCTCCGCGCGCGCCCTGCTCCTACTGCGGTGCATGCGCCGACGCTGACAACTCGGAGCGGCCCGCGCGCTGGGGCGTCGGAGGCATGGTAGGCTGGGGAGAGGTGAGTGAAAGCCAGAGAGAAATTGCTAGCCCAGGGGAAAGGCGAGCGGCCGCGCCGGTGTTCCGTCCTAAATGCCAGTGTGACCTACCCTTCCCACATTGGGCCATCAGATCTCATCGTTGTTCAAGTGTCCGTTGGAATGATGTTCAGACATTCGTAGAGGGCGTCGGGTTCTTAGATCCTTTTTGGGGGAGTAATACGAGATTATGCGTCCTCGAAGATCCCAAAGCGTTGAATAAACGATTGTACAAAGAGGTTCCAGAATCCCAGCTGACAGCTGTTTTATAATAACAGTAAGAAACAGTTTAGGACGGGAAGTTAACGATATTGCACCAGTTGAAACCGTAGGAAACACTTAAAGCAGTTATTTCCACTGAACACCCGCGGCTAAACCGCGGTGTTTGAAATATGTGACAAATCCAGTGATCCGCAACGCTTTGGGATTTTCTCTAATCCCGAAGTTGAAGTGAGCCTGCGTTCTTCCTTTTTATTTTAGAATAGTCTATGTAAATTATTAAAGGAAGGCGAGCTAGTAAAATAGCGATTTGGGGGTAAGTTTATTTTAAAAAAATATATATGCAAGGAAGCTGTTAAAAATTTGGGGCACTGATGTGTTTCAATTTCTTCAGTCTTACACAGAGTTTTTCCTGGAGATTAACTAAGAACTGTCAGGACATATGCTCTATTTATGCTAAGTGGCTTAAAAGCAAAATAAGATAGCGTTGACTGAGTATGAAGAAGACGTTATATTAAGTAATCTTGTCGAGAAGTCTTTAATTGGCTTTAAAGCAAAAGTATAAAGATTTGAAATGGTTTTTCTGGAGATTATAGATACTGGGAGAAAGAGTCTACTTAAGAATGTTTCTGCATTAAATTTGTAAGTCTACAAAACAGCTTGACTCAGGTCAAACTTCACTCTTCAGGGTGTGTATTTTGTTCAGAGATGGGCAAGATTTTCTGGAAGGAAACCCAGAGTGTTAAGTGTATTCGTGGAAGGAAAATTAAAATTCAAAGTAGCATGCTTTATAATTTCTGTAGTCACTCAGAATTTGTAATTGTTAGACTTATTTTATGAACTAAGCAGCACTGGAAAAGTGGTGTGTATTCCATGAAGAATACTCGAGTAAAGAGAACAAAAATAGAAGAGGAAAGAAAGCTGAAAATACGTTTTTCAGTCTGTTGTATTGGTTCAAGAAGAAAAGCTAGCATTTTACTTGGAGACAAGTGTCCAACCAGTAAATGAACTGAAAAAGAAGATTTTCATTTTTAATCAAGATTCCAACGTTACTTTTTTTCTCCATAGAAGTTGTTGAAAAACGTGAAAATAGGCCTGTGAGGTTGACTGGAGAAATGTTAGCCAGTTGGGATATCTGGGAAACACTTTACGGGAAAAGATTTTTAATCTAAAAACTGTAAAGAATGATTGTAAAATATTTCAGTCTTCTGGTGTTAGCTGATTAATACGTAAATTTTCTTTAAACCATTCTTATGTTGGTAAGAGCATTTCACTCAAAGAAAATGGTTAAAGAAATTAGTCATTTTTGTCATAGTTCATAAGAGGTTTAGACTGCTTCCTGTGTATAAACTTAAGTATTGAAGTAACATGTATCAGATATGCATGAGGAATTTCTCTCATAATTTCAATAGGTTGCCCAAGAGCTGTTGGTGCTACATTTTGAGTTGGAATTCACTGCTAACAAAATGTACTTGTAAAATGTCTGTGCCCGGTAAAGGGTACACTTGAAGATTTATCTTTACAACCTCAAATTGTTCCTTAGACTTCAAATTCTCCATCCATGTCCCTCATTTTACAGATAAGAAAGTAAAGGCCTGCTCAGGTGAAATGACTTATACCTAGTCTATAGCTACTTAAGTTAGGCTATGGTTTGGCCTAGAAATTTTTCTGTGAGATGCTGATTTACCTCTTTCTTTAGAAGTAGTTTTATGGAGTAGTGGAAAGAACATTGAAAAATATGTGAAGCCAGCATTGGTCGCTCACACCTGTAATCCTACCTACTTGGGAGGCTGATGATTGCCATTAGAGCCAGCCTGGGAAAATAGTTCCAGAGACCACCATCTCCAAAATA